GGGGGGGGGGGGAGCCATCGTTTCCCGGCAACCATAGCCTCGCTTTCCCCTCCCCGCTAGACCAATGTATTTACGTTACGTAGCTGGACCGGACGATAACTGGAGGATTTCTGGGCCACGTCACTTGAGGCTCCGCCCCTGGGTGCTGCTTCCTGGCTGGGCGCTTCGGACCTGAGCAGTGCGTTTGCGGGGTGCTGTGCAGGCGTTTGTGGTAGGTGAGGGTCCGGGGCGCTCAGGTCCCCTGCTCTGGCCTGACTCCTAATACTACAGAGGGTACTAAGGACCCGGTTCGTACGCCCCAGGCAGCCCCTGGGACCGAAGCGACTGAGGCCTGGGTTCTGGACTCGGTTTTCTGAGACGTTGCGGGCGCCCTGAGGGCGGGGGCACGCGGGCTGGCGGGAGTTTTGGTTCGGGTGTTTTCGAGGATTGAAGTTTGAGGCTTTGTCGTACATCCAGGGCCATAGTGACATATGTGTCCCCTTTACTTTTGGCCTTTGCGCTGTCTGGGCTCTCTTGAAATGTTTCAAGCCTTTTCAGTGGGCAGCCTTCCTGGTCTCTTGGACTCAATACTGACAGAATCTTTTCACCAAGCAATACGTCTTATCTTCAGGTATGAGACTGGAAGACCATTAGTCTGCTCTACCAAAAACAAAATTTAATTGGCTGGCTAGAGGAGCTGCATTTTGGACATCTTTGGAGAAAAGTGTCCCTGGTTGTTCACACTGGAAGCATCCTAGAAATTCTTCTCTGTGTGTATGTGTTAGTATGTTAAAATATATGTAATGTAAAGCTTTTCATTTTAACTTTTTTTCTCAGTAGTGTGGATTGAACCCTTGACCTTCACCCTGAGCTATATCCCCAACCCTTATGTATTTATTTACTTATTTTTTAAATTTTGAAACAGGTCTTGCTTAAGTCACTAAGTTGCCCAGGCTGGGCTTACACATAAGATCTTCCTGCTTCAGCCTTCTAATGTGCTAGGATTATAGAGACAAGCACCACCATGCCTGGCTATTTCAACCATTTTTCTGTGTAGTGTTCAGTGGCATTTATAGTGTTGTACAACCATAACTACCATCCATCCCCAGAACTTTCTCATCCTCTTAAATAGAAACTCTGTACCTACTGAACAGTAACTACCGATTTTCCCCTCCCTTCAGCCCCAGGTGACCACCGTATTTTCTGTCAGTTTGACTAGGTAGTTCACAGAAGTAGAATCATATGTTTGTCTTGTGTTTGGGCTGGAATGTAGAAAATCCATTTTCAGAGACAAACCTTATGAAAATAACTTGAGTGTAGAGACAGAAAAAGAACTCAATTGCTCTTCTGTCATCTTTATTTGTAATAAACAAGATATTTTAAATTTTTGTTATAAGAAACATCTTAAAAGCCTGTTACCTTTTCTTTTTTCCAAATGCATAAACAGGGGCTGGGGATTTAGCTCAGTGGCACAACGTTGGCCTGGCAAGTGTGAGGTTGTGAGTTTGATTCCCAGTACTGGAAAAAAAAAGAGAGAGAATTGTCTATCCAAATGCATAAACAAATATGAGTACCACACACATATACTATATCCTGGAACTTCATCCTTACTTGTCTGCACTTCTGTTTTCCAGCTTAGATTCCAAATGAAAATGTTTGAGAGCATTGATTCCACAGCTGCAGAATCTGGCAGGGATCTCTGGTCTGAAATCTGTTCCTGTCTGCCAAGTCCTGAGCAAGAAGATGTGAGCAATGCCTTCTCGGACTCCTTTGTAGATTCCTACCCTGTGTGTAAAGATGAAGGGGAGGCAGCAGACTTTGCTGTCCAGCCAGCTATAAAGCCCTGGGCTCCCCTGCAGGATTCAGAAATGTACTTAGCATCTCTAGGTAAGTTAGATAGCTCTTTTTTAAATTAGAAGCTGGTGGTCTTACTTGTTTAGGCATTTCGTGGATTTAACTCGGCCTTCACGCCGAGCTACATTCCCAGCCATTTTATTTTACTTTATTTTATTTACTTTAGTTTTTGAGACTATGTCACTTTGTAGTGCAGGCTGACCTTGAACTCGCTAGGTAGTCCAGACTGGCCTTGGGCTCAGCAATTCTACTTCAGTTCTCTGAGTGCTAGGGTTATAGCCGTGTGCCACCGCGCCCAGATCTTCCAGCCTTTTAAAAAATGTTTTTATTTTATTTTGAATCAGGGTTTTGCTAAATCACTAAGTTGTTCAGGCAGGGCTCAAATATTTGATCTTCCTGCTTTAGCCTCCTGAGTGTTGGAATTAACGGTTTGCACCACCACGTCTGGCTTGAAACTGGTGGGAAACATGCTGAAGTTCTGTTCAGAAACTCAGTTTCTTTTTTTTTTTTGGAGACAAGGTGTTACTATAGTTCAGGCTGGTCTTGGATTCACGATGCAGCCCAGGCTGGCATCAAACTCATGACAGTCCTCCTGCCTCAGCCTCCCACATGCTGGGATTACACGCATGTGCCACCATACCTGCCTTGGTTTCCTATTTTTAATCTTTTGTTGGGTCCTTACCACCTCTATCTGACAGATGTAATTCAAGGAGGTGTTTCAGGTTGATTATTGGGTAGGCGCCTCCCTTTTATACTTCCCTTAAAACAGTTTTTGTCGCTGGGCGTCGTGGCACACACCTGTAGTCTCAGCATTGGAGGCTGAGGCAGGATGATTGCTGTGAGTTTGAGGCCAACCTGGACTACATAGCGAATTCAAGGCCAGCCTAAATTACAGAGTAAGATCCTGTTTCAAAAAAAAAAGTTTTTTGTCACCTCCTGTCATGAACCATTTCATCTAAATTCTATTGTATTTCTTGGCATCTTATAGAACCCTCTTGCCTGCTCTTGCTGGCCCATATATTCAGATAGCTCAAAACTGTTAAACCTTATGCTACCCTGATGGAAAGGCCCCAGAGCCACATGGAACATTCTGATGCTAGATTCTGAAACTATTAAGTAGATTGCTGGATGGTGGAGCATGTTGAAATATGATTCATTCTGTCTCTTATTAGACTTTTTGGTGGAAAAAAAAACTTCCTGAACACATTTTCAGTGCCCTATCTTGTGGCTAGGGCATAAGAACCTAGGGTGACTCCAAATATGGGAATGACATTCACATTGTCTTATGTTAGGAGAAAAAGGACAGCCAGGCATGGTGGCACATGCCTGTAATCCTAGCACTCAGGAGGCTGAGGTAGGAGGGTCACCACAAATTCAAGGCCAGCCAGAGCTACACAGAAAGGCCCTGAAAGAGAGAGAGAGAGAAAGAGACAGAGAGAGAGAAAAGGAGGGGAGGGGAAGGAGGAAGGGGGAGGGGAGGAAGAGAAAAAGAGAGGAGGAGAGGGGAGAGAAAGAAATACCAGTGTAGGGCATTGGGGTCAGGGATGTACCTCAGTGGCATAACCACTTGCCTGGCAAGTCTGAGGTCATGAGTTCTATTCCTAGTATCAAAAAAAAAAAAAAAAAAAAAAAAAAAATGTAGGGCAGTGATTGGCGTCTTTGGAATTATGGTATACTTTTTTAAAAATTTACTTTGTAACTGACATATACAAACTATATCTATTAATGGGGGAACCATGTAAAGTTTTGATACGTGCATACATTGTATAATGTTTAAATTAAGGTAAACATAACTACTCCTCAACCATTTATTATTTATTTATGGTGAAAACTTTGAGAGTCTTTTCTTCTTGTGGTTCTGTTATTGCTGAACATCCGTGAGGGTTACCTGTGTGTTATAACACATTTGAGGAAGGAAGAGCAGTTCAGGAAGAGGGGTTTTTGAAGAAGGACAGAGAGGAATCAGAAGAGACCTTATATGATTGCTAAGAAGTTTCTTGGGAAAACAAAAGGAATTTCATTAACCTATTGCAGAAAAACACAGTTGGAATTATAGAGAACAAGAGAGACGAGGTAGTAGTACGAAATTTGTTGGGAAGCTACCAAAGATGGACTGTAATGCTTATAGCCACGGTCAGTGAGGTTGGAAGTTGTGCATGTGGTAAGCAGAGCAAGTGCCATGTACCCAGGAGTTATAAGAAACTTGTAGGGATAGTCATAGTTTTGACTGATAAAGACTGATTTGGAAAGCTAAAACTCTACTGATCTTCTCTAAAAGTCAGTTAAGAAAGTGATAATTAAAATATCCTTCTCTGAGGAAAATAAGAGTCATTTCTGTTGTGTAGGGAATGAACTGGGTGATGACAGCAGCCAGGTTTGGAGTAACAGCACCTCTTTCTGCCTGCCCTTTGGAAAAGTATTTTTTTTTTTTTTTATTTTTGGTGTGGGGAATCGAACTCAGGACTTTGCACTTGCCAGGCAGGCACTTAGGCCCCTGAGCTATATCGCCGGCTCTGCCTGCCCTTTGGGATCACACCTGATCAGGAATTTAGCACACTCAGAAAGGGGAAAATCTTTTCTACCCCAAAGAGTACCTTTCACCACGACAACCAAAGCCAGACAATATGAAGATTGTTTTTATTGCCAGATAAATCTGTACCAAAAAGAATGCACTGATAAGAGCAATAATTAAAAACTTAGCCAGTTAAACATGAGATATGCATAAGCCTTTTTACATATTCAGGAAAAGATAAAGCCCCTCAAGTACTCACATTTATCAACTGCAGGCCTTTTACATGCGTGTGCTCTTGGTGACAACTTACAGCAATACAGAGGGTTTTCTGTTTTGATCAGTGTGTGTTAGCTGACGTGATTTGCTTAGAAATGAGAACAGGATTGCATATCGTGAAGTTCCTACGGGCTTTGCATTTGATAACCATCTCCCCCTCCAAAAAATAAAAATAAAAAAGGAGCCAAAACCTACATTTACCTGGGCACATTTACAGTTGCTTAACAATAGGGGTATCCAAGAAATGGGGTTAGATTTCACCATTGTTTAACATTGCGGAGGGTACTTACAAAGACAGGTAGGGCATCACTAAGTGATACAATCTTAGGGAACCATCCTCGTGTATGTGGTCTGTTCTTCACCAAAAACATCATTGTATGGCACATTTGAAGGCAACCCTGAATTAAGGAAGGAGGTAACTGGTGATATCCTTTCTTGTATTCTTCAAAAGGGGAAATTCGTTCAACAATTATACTTAAAATGCAAAGAAGAATAATTAAACATCTATCATCATGAAACCATATGGACTATTCTCACAGGGATTAAAAGATGCTTCTTTTTATTAGGTTGCAATATTGAGGCTGCAAATTGAGCAATTTTTTTAAAATGTTGAAAGATTCTTTTTCTTTAATCAAGAATTTAATCACATAGAGATCTTAAAGGTCTCTTATTATTGAGTTCTCATCAAGTCAATTTTAGTGTCTAATGAACCATTGGATCTCTCATCATTTTCTCTAATTCTTTCTCATGAGGTTTGGAAACCACTTCATGTCATTTTAACAAGGAAAGAAGCCATTTACTCCTCAGAGACATTTTCAAGGAGTTGAAAAAAAGATAGCATACACATGTCAAGCTGGGGAAAGCAAGCATTCCTTAGAGAGATACGTGCTGGCTTATATGATTTCAAAGAAAACATACCAGTGGCTGTTTATGAGAACCTATGTCTTTTTCATTTTCTAATGCTAAACATTTATTTGATACAATGCAGGATGAACACACTGTGAGGGAAAAAGGAATATGTCTGATCCCTTTTTTATCTGTCCTTTAAAAATTAGCTCTTTTGCAGGGCATGTGGATGTACTAAACAGAGAATTGTTATATTTGCACAAAAAGACTTAGTTGAAATTGCATGTCATACTTTCCTTGTTAAGCTCCATTTCTTGTTTCTTTAGAGAAAAAACTAAGAAGAATCAAAGGTTTAAATGAGGAAGTGACTTCCAAGGATATGCTTCGAACCTTGGCCCAGGCCAAAAAGGAATGCTGGGATCGGTTCCTCCAGGAGAAGTTAGCTTCAGAGTTTTTTGTAGATGGACTTGATTCTGATGAAAGGTAATTGGTTGCCTGATGACAGTCTGTTTCATGGAGAGAACACTTCTCTTTCTCTAGAGCATTTAAGGATAGTGAATGCTTCCTTTCTCCTATAAGTTGATAGCAACATTAGCTCTTTGAGCTGAAATCAGCCTTTGTAAGTTTGCTCTTTTTATTCTTAGCATAGCAGATTTTTTTCTGTTTGTTTTTGTTTTTTGAGATAGGATCTCACTATGTAGTTCAGGCTGGTTTTGAAGTATGTAGCTCAGGCTGGCCTTGAACTCACAGTGATCCTCCTGCTTCAGCCTCCTGAGTGTTAGGATTCTAGGCATGCACCACTATGCCTGGCTAGCCTAGGAAATTTTTGAGAATGGTTATTTTTTCCAAAAGGCGAAGACCCCAGCTATATCCCATTCACAGATCGAATAGAGTTGAGGAGAGATCCCTATCTTCATTTATAGGTATGTAATGCACTTGGAAAAACTAGTAATCAATCAACAATTGTAATCGTGTCTTTTTATTTCTGAATCTTTATTGTTTTACAGAGTTTCTGTCATATTGTAGCCACTCGAACATGTGTAGACCAAATTAATACATTAAGTGTGTCCGGTAGGGTGACATTGTGCTTGTTATGGGAGTGTGTTAAAATGAAGTTTGAGGCTCTCTTGTCTTGCTCTCTCCATTTTTTTTGCGGTGGGGAATGTGTTCTCAGACCCAGCTGGGAACAAATGACAAATACAGTGGTACTTTGGTTCACCAGCTCTTTCATTTGCAAACAGAAACATGGGGCAAAATTTTGTTTTTGTTTGCAAACTGCATTGGGTGATACGACCACAGCCATCTTTCCTGCACAAACACACACGTGGCCATCTTTTCCAAAATTGTAGAACAAATTAAGTTTGTGAATCGAGGTACTACTGTATGTATGAAGACATACCTTAGCTCAGTGATGCAAACCTTTTAGAGACCAAGTGCCAAAACTACAACCCAAAGTCCATAAATTTAATGCAAAGCACCAACAGTGCAATTAAAACCGAATACTGAGGTTTTAGTTTAGAAAAAGCAACTCATATATTAACATCTTTTGTCTTGAAAGAAAAACATAATAACAGAGCTTTCACTAATACAAACAGCTTTTTATTGAAAGGTAAAATCTTGCATTTGGTGTACTTTTGCACAATTAATGTGATCTTTGCTGTTGCATGCATGCTGATAATTTGTCAAAACTTGGCTCATAATTTCATTAGGTTGAAAGCAACACATGAAACATTCAGATCATCTGTTACTCAGTTTCTTGTATCAGATTTGATCTAATTCAAAACTGAAAACAGCTGCTCAAAGCATAAGATGATCCAAACAATGTAAGAAAAGCAATCCCAATTGCTTTCATTGACTTAAATTATTTGGCAGACATTTCCACACTTTGAGGATTTTGCTTTCTTTTTTTTGAGGAGTGGGGGTTGCGGTACTGGGAATCAAACTCACAACCTCGTGCTTGCCAGGCAGGTGCTGTGCCGCTGAGCTATATCCCGGGCCCCAGATTTTGCTTTCAGAACTAACAACTGTGCTGTCCTTTGTCATGCCTTCATTCTCTATCTTCTCTCTCTTCCCAAGTGTTGCATGCAGGTCACAGAATGTATTTTTCTAGATAGAGCTTTCTTGAGATTCCAACAGCTCCATTTCTAGATTTCTAAAATCTAGCCAGTATAAACAGGAAAGATCAGGTTCTTCAAATTTGGCATTATCTTGAGAAGTAAGAAAACACATGTTTGTCTCCATCTCATGGGACTGTAATAATCTGTTACTACAATTCTCCTTTGTAGTTTGCAGCTGCTACAATGCTAGAAAATTCTTCATAGATTTCCTGATGGCTTGTAGGATTGTCTGCAAATATTGTAGAATTTCTAAATGCATTTTACATTTGGAAAATATTTCTGCTGCCTATTTTAAAAGTCTCTCAAAAACCTAAAGTTTTCTCTCAAATATTTTGATATCACAATGTTTTGATATCCTTTCTGCTGTTTTCCCTGCACCTTGCAGTTTTTGTCCAGTACATCAAAGTGTGGTGTAAAAAATCTGTTTAAAAAAAAGTCAGGTTGTTAAGTTAGACCATATCAGTGAACTATGGATATTTCTGCCCGTTTTCATTCATAAACAACCTAATTTCATCCAAATAGGCTATGAACCTCTCCGAGACTTGTCCTTTGCTCAGCCACTGGACATTACTGTACATAAGTAAAGCATTCCAGCCTGGGCTACATAAGTGAGTTCAAGGCCAGCCTGCACTACATAGTAAGACCCTGCCTCAAAACAACAACAAGAAAAAAGCATTGTACTGTGCCTGAACCTGAATCTCATGATGTAATTCAACTTCTTTGAGGATATTGTCTTTTAAGTTTTTGCTGCTTTCCATGGCATAAAGAGCTTCTTAATATATAATACAATGAAATTGAATGACTGGATATTTTGCTTCTTTAACAAAGAACTGCATGAAACCAGATGTTGCCCCACCATGCATGGTGCTTCAACACTAATAGTTGAAACCACTTCTTTTAGCTTTACATCTTGTGACAAAAACGCCTCCATCATAGCATTGTAGATATCTATCCCTTGTGTTCGTCCAGGCAAAGACACCAGTTTCACCAGCTCTTTTCTCATGAAGTCACCAACATCATAATGCAAAATTACTGCGGTACTGGGGGTTTAGCTCAGCGGCACAGTGCCTGTTTGGCAAGCGCAAGGTTGTGAGTTCGATTCCTGGTACCAGGGGAAAAAAATTACTGCTAGCCTTGCGTAATTATTTTTATCTGCACTTTCATACAAGCACATGGGGTAATAGGCTGCCTTTTTGCCCTTTGTATCTTAGTATTGAGCTGCTGACTAATATCACTTGCTATACACAGCCATGGGATAACAGCATAGGAGCTTGCTGATCTTTAACAGTATTTCTGCTAAGTGGCATCTCAGAGATGCATTGCCTAATTTTGTCCTTGTTTGGGAAATCACTCTCAGACAGCATGGCCATTTTGATAAAATCCCCATCAGAGAGGGGCTTACCGTGTTTTGCTATGCACAGTAAAATTTGGAAGCTGACAGCTATCAGGTGATTTGTTTTTGAAAATAGTTGGGAAAAAAATAAGATACTGGGAATGATATTTCCTCAGTTTCCTTTTAAGAGACTCTTTCCTTTCAGTTTCACCAAGTTCGGTAACGCTTTTACGGTTGCCATCTGACACCTGACGTGTGACGCAGCACTTTCACTACATAAAATACATGCTGCTTTCTCATTGCACTCAGTCACTCCAGTGACTGTTCAGATCTTCTGAAATGATCTACTGTTTTCAGTTTTGCTTTTTTGCTTTATTTTTTGGTGTGCAAGACTTGAAGTCTGCAAAAACACAAAATTTTTAAAAAATGAAGCACCCAATACAAATCCATCCATATACCAAAAGTAGCTAACACCACTAATTAACACTAACGAATTGGATACTCCCTGAGTCAGTAATATACAGCCGTGATTCTCAGCTGGGATTCCTCTTCAGTTTGCTGACCACCAGCGTGAGGGGGCAATATTCTACTGACCACTGGCTTTTGGCCTGCTCTGAAAAAGGTGTCTGAGTGCATGTCCTACCTTGTGGGGGCTTCTGCTAAAATCACAGTCCAAGCAAATATATATACCCTTTCTCTTGCTTTCATAAATTCTTCACACACAACTAAATATGATGCTGCAGATTCAAATATACCAGGGGGACAGCACAACATTAAAAGAATCTCAGTCTCTTAGTTAGAGCAACTCTTTACTAAATCTTAGATATTAAATTTCAGTTTTTCATAAGAAAGCTCAAAGCCAAAATCTTGTGTTAATAAAAATGAATGTATTAAAACTCACAGGCACTCCAGGCCAATTTATAGCTATATCTCCTTGGCAGCACACTGACTGGCCATGCAAAGGAAGGGATGAGTCATGGCTTGTGATGTCATTGCCTGGTGCCGCTGCTCCTTTCTGAGTATATGCTTGGCTCCTATGTGTACTGCTGTCCCATGCTTGGCTGCTGGGGTGATGGTGGGGCAACTTGGCTCACGTGCCAACAGAGAGAGCTCTGTGTGCCAACTGTGGCACACATGCCATAGGTTTGCTACCACTGCCTTACTAGTTGTGGTAGCACATGCCTGTAATCCCAGCACTCTGGGAGGCTGAGTCAAGAGTATCACAAGTTCGAACCCACCCTGGGCAATTTAGGGAGACCCTATGCCAAAATAAAAAGTAAAAAAAAGAATTGGGGCTGTTGCTCTGTGTGAAGGTCCTAGGTTTGATCTCTAGTACCACCACTAAAATAAAAAAGACATATTTAACCACATGAGCAATATAAGACAGGATCCAAAGTGACAGAATGTGCTTCGGGGGTTAAGAGACCATTAAGTTCCTGTATCTGTGCCAGGGAAGGAGGCAGGCCTTGCACAGGGCCTGTAGGTGGTTTGGCTGCAGAAGGGTGGAGAGGGCATTCTGCTACAATGAGCAGCAAGGTTCTTGACACCTGGGAAGATGACAGTGCCATTGTCTCATTGTATGCTTTTGGTCAAGTGACTTCCATGTTCCTCATTTTCCTCATCTGTAGAGTAATGGCTCTTAATATGATCGTTATGAGGATTAAGTGAGTTAAGTGTAAAAGGCTTAGAACAGTACATGGTAAGCACAGTACAGATAATACCCTGCTTGGTAGAATTTTAAAGTTTGGTAAGAAATTATTCAAAATAAAAATAGGTGGGGGTTCCATTAATATGTGTAATTTTTGGTTTTGTATGTCTTTTTTTTTTTTTTTTTTTTTTGAGATAAGGTCTTGCTGTGTAGTTCAAGCTGGCCTTGAACTATGTAGCACAGCCTGGCTTCAAACATGTGGCAATCCTCCTGCCTCAGCTTCCTGAATGCTGAGAGTAGAGGCATGCACCACTATGCCTGGCATCGTATGTCATTTTAAAATAAATTGAAATTTTAAAAAAAATTGGTGGAGTGTGTGAAAACCTGAATTTTAACAAAAGGTTTATAACTTAACCTAAGTTTGCATCACATCAGCAACATTGATTTGGGGGACTCTAATGTCAGATGAAGATGGTGCTGCTAATACCAATTACAGTATGTGAATAAAACTTCAGAGTTACCTATTACCTGCTGGGCATGGTAGCGCATGTTTGTAATCCCAGCACTTGATAGGCTGAGGCAGGAGGACTGCTGTGAGTTCAAGACCAGCCTGGGCTACATAGTGAGTTCAAGGCCATTTTCAGCTAGGTAGTGAGTTCAAGGCCAGCCTGGGGCCGGGGATAAAGCTCAGCAGCACAAGCACCTGCATGGCAAGTGCAAGGTCCTGAGTTTGATTCCTGGTACCCAAAAAAAAAAAGGCCAGCCTGAACTACATAGAGAGACTGTCTCAAAAAAACAAAAACCATAGTTACATTTCACTTTTTAATTTACAGTACGCTTTCACTTATATTATCTCAATTATTGGATCAGCATGTCCCCAGATCCCTCACAAATCAGGGTGGCATCAAAGGTCAGGCCAGCTACCCTCGAGAGCTCAGAAAATAATATAAATTTTGCCTTTTCTATTTCCAAAGGCTCAGCCTAATTGAGGCTCAAACTGCTCCAAACAGAAGAAATGTAGAGATGTGCAGGTTCCTGACCAACCTGCTGATAATTTGGCATTTATTTATGTCTTCTCTCCTCTTCAGTATTACCCTCCATTCCAGTTTTTGGTGTTGATGATGGGAGTTACTAGCAGAGCTAGCAAACCAGAAAAGATGGAGGCTTTTGCCAATAAAAAAAAATCTTGCTTGAAAAAAAAAAAAAGAAAGAAAATATGGCTGGGGATTTAGCTCAGCAGCACAGCGCCTGCCTGGCAAGCGCAAGGTCATGAGTTTGATTCCTGGTACCGGAAAAAAAAAATCTTGCTTGGGAGTTGCAGGAGCAAGACTTACCTAGGGATTTGGGGAGGCCCATCAGACAGTTGGGAGCTAAGTAGTTACAAATTTCAGGTGGTTTACTTTCCTGACACACGAGCTGCTGTTATCTGTAGGTCATGGGTGTTCTAGGTTCAGTGAATCCTTACTTTGGATAGAAAAACGAGTCTTATATAAGAATTTTAGTTCATGCTGCTGCTCTGGCATGCAGCTTCATGATTGGAACTTGTCCTCTGAATGAAGCCATAAAAGAAAAGAGGGGAGAAATTGAAAAAACTCATTTTTTTGCAGATTACTTTTCAGATTTGGTTCTCTTTCACAATCCACTCCAGTTCTGAGATGACAAAACCCCTCCATAATCCTCCACAGGGATGCCTTCTCCAAAATTAGTTCCACACGTTTCTGAGCATCCATATCTAAAATAATTATCTCTTTGCCTTTTCTTTCTTTTTTTCCTTTTTTGTGGTACTAGAAATTGAACCCAAGGCCTACACATTGAGCCACATCCCCAGGCTTTAAAAAAAAAATTATTTTATTATTTTATTTTGAGACAGGGTCTTGCTAAATTGCCCAAACTAGGCTCGAACTTGGGATCCTCCTGCCTCAGCTTCCCATAGTGCTGGGATTATGGATATGCACCACCACGCCTGGCTTGCTTTCCCTTTTCTTTTCTTTTTTCTTTTTCTTCATTTTTTTTTTTCTTTGGTGTTTTTGAGACAGGGTCTTGCTTTGTAGTACAAGCTGGCCTTAAACTCTCAGTAATCCTCTTGCCTTTTCCTGCATGCTGGGATTACAAGCGTGTGCCACCACACCTGGCTGCTTTCTCGTTTCTAGAGAAATAATTTGGACAGCAGTTAAATGTTTCTGTCACACATGATTCCCTAAGATGTGGGCACAAGAGTCAGTCAGCTGTTTGCATTACCCTCTGATGTTTGGGTTTGCTCCCTGCACCTCCATCTGTGGGAATGCTTCGTCATTGTTCAGAACAAACACCAGGAAATAGTAGTTGTGCATTTGTTTGCAAACTTCAAAGCTTATTTTTAAACAGAGGTCATTTTGCAGGGGACTTATGTGGGCTAGTTTGGTGACTCTTGTGGTATGCTTTTGGCAAAGAATTAATGGGCTAAGAAATCCAACTACCTAAAACATAATTCCCCCATACAGTTAGGGCTTTGGCTACTAGAGAGCATGGTATAAGATTCACATTATTTACTGTGAATGCCTGATAGCTATAGGGTGTAAGACCCTGGGTACTTGTGGGAGGTGGGAGAGGGGCGTGAGCCCCACAGTCATACTTACCTCCTCTGTATATAGCAAAACAAGATGTCTTACTTGCCATTTCTTTGTTTTTTTGTTGTTTTTTTTTCCGGTACAGGGAATCGAACTCATGACCTTGCTCTTGCCAAGGAGGCGCTGTGCCGCTGAGCTAAATCCCCAGCCCCACTTGCCATTTCTTTGTCCATTTGCTACTCAGATGTTTTCTATCTTAGGGACTTGCTAGGGGATGAGATAAACAACTCCCCCCACACACGAAAAATCATACTTCCTACAGTAAGTGCTGTACTGTATGTATAATTGAGCCTCAGACCACCTCAGGTATGAGAGATTTAAAGATGCTCAGGTTCTGCCTCACTAATAGTTTGGCATTTGTTTGAGTGTTTCCTCCCCTTGACAGTTTCTGTCTTTCAGTTTTGAGGGAAAAAGATAGGCCCAAGACATAAGCTCTTCAGCTATTCTTATCAAGCCTTCAGAGACTGCGTTTGAAGGGGGCCTGGTGCTGCTTATAGCCAAAGTGCCCTCTAGGGGGTAAATTATGCCTCTGAGCTGCCAGGATGCGCAGCTGTCAGAGGAGTGCGGTCCCCACGTCAGCAGTGAAAAGCAATTGTAGGAAGAAATTGGTGGTGGGTGGGAAGGCAGTGTTTGAGTAACTGAGCTAATCATTAAGTAATTAATTGGTGAGTTCTGATATAGCCACCCTTTTCTTCTGTTCCTTCACAGCACCTTAGAACATTTCAAGAGGTGGCTGCAGCCAGATAAAGTTGCCATCAGCTCAGAGGAAGTCCAATACCTGATCCCTCCAGAGTCACTGGCCGAGAAGCCAGCAACCGAGGACAAGGCAGCAGCAGCAGAACAATAAATACCAGGCAGCTGTCTGGAGTCCAGAGGGAGCAGCTGAGAGCGCGGTGGTGGCAGCAGTGAGGAGAAATCCGGGGAGGGAAAAAGCCCAAACTTCCATTCCACAAAGCACACAGCTGCCAACCCTGGAGGACTTGCTCAGGGCTGACACATGTGACTGAAATGATTGACCCAGCGCATGCTGGATCAAAATCCCACCTTCCTCCTGGCCTGTCGGAGCTCTGCTGCTGCAAGTTAGAAGTCCGCCGAGGGTGTAATGGACTGGGTGTGAGAGTGCTGGGAGCACAGGTGCCCTTATGTGTAATGGGTGCATTAAGTGAGCCGTAGCTTTCCCAGCCTCGTCTGGATATGCGTGCCTGTGTCCCCAGCACTCTCCCTGTACATTGTCGGGGGCGAGTGGGGCCAAGGAGAGCAAAGTCGGCCTCCTGGGAACTAAGCCTACATGGGGCTTCTCTAACAAATCTTTAGTAAACAGAGGGACTCTGGGGAAAGAGGCTGGGCTTTCCTTTGTCTGATGTGTTCCTTGTGGAGAAAATGGGCGAAAGAAGTGTGAAAACATGGGGTTTATATCTGTGTAGAGTTTTTTATTTCAGGCATGGCTTAGCCCCCAACTTCCTCCTGCACTGATTTCCAAATTAGACTTGTAAATGTGGGTTAGTGTTTGACACTACTCCCGCATCATTCCAAACTTGTTCTCTAGCAGCTTTTCTGGCTGAGCCTGCATTTTCCTCCTTTTTATGGTGTCCTTGTTCACATAAACATATAAAGTATATGTTGTCCACATGAAACTTTCTCATCAGAGTAGCTGCGTGGTGCTGTTGACCAGATTTTTTCCAGAGGGATGCGGTGGGAGGGAAAGACAAATATGTGCCGTGGAGGGGAGATGGTGGCCTCTGCCACCCTCCTGTTTTTAACACAGGACCTCTGCTAATCCAAACCTTCGTATTCTGAGGGAAGGATTCTGAGGCCACGGCTCCATGGAGTTTTTTCCTGGGTAATGGTTTCCAAATCTCTAAGGATGAGCAGGGTGGCCAGTGTTGGCTCAGTTGTAAATCAGGTATTTGGGGCTGGGGATATGCTCAGTGGCATAAGTGCCTACCTTGCAAGCACAAGGTCCTGAGTTCGATTCCTGGTACCCTCTTCACCAAATCAGGTATTTGCCTTACCTGATAGGAACCAACGAGATGATCCTATATACTTGTTTAAATGAATATGTTTGTTACAGTTTCTAGATATGCTTTTTTACTTTTTTTTTATTGACTGAACATGTTAGCTTTATTTCTTTGATTAGCAGTATATTTTTGACATGGAATGTGGCCCAAAGCCAGGCATGGTAGTTTGTAGTCCCAGCACTTCAGAAGGCTAAAGCAGGAGGACTACAAATTCAAGCCCAGCCTGGGCAACTCAGTGACTTAATGAGACCCTGTCTCAAAACAAAAGGGCCTGGCGATGTAGCTCTGAGAATGCCCTGTGTGCAATCCTCAGTACCCAAACGAACCCCACAAACAAGAAAGTGGTACCATGTGGCCCCAGGAACACTGAGGATTCCTCAGCACTGGGCTATCATCTGGCCTTGGACCAAGCCTTCAAGCTGCTGCCTTTGACTGTGGTGCAGATGCCAGACTTTGCTCTTCTTCCAGAGCCTCTGACGGCATTCAGCTGGATAGATGGGTTTTTAAAAGAAGATTTTTATTTAGTCTGTGTGGTAAACAAAATCTTCCTCAGTAACAATTTAAGTAAGAAAGTCAATGAGGTCCCAAAACACTTCCAAAGTGGCTAGTCCTAAGGTGGTAAGAGAATGTTTCTGTACCAGAAAGAGTATTTCTGTAATTCAGGCATGAGTCTAACCTTTTCTTTCTCCTACCTTGTGTTTACTATCTCAGCAAAGGACATTTTCATACAAGAAGGTGCAGCACTGATGTAGAGGAAAACCTGGTAGAGATGTGAAGGGAAGCTCCAGATCCCCGCTACCTTCTGCATTAACCCTTTGAGAGGAACAGGGATCCCACATCCTTATAATTGTGGTTTAGTTGACTTAGAACATCTTAAGTGATGGTTCTAAAAAAGTGAAATGCCATTTGCCAAAACTAAATTTGATATTAACTCCCAAAGCTAACATTAATACAGATTTATCTTAGGCTACCAAAATAGAACTAAACTTGAAACCCAAAGTCTTGGGTGCCGTCTGTGCCTTGTGGCTTATTGTGTGGTCATGAATAAGTCAAGTGACCCCTTTGTGTTTCGGTTCCCTTTCAATAGTTGAACTAACCATAGGAAAAATAGTATTGGCCCAAAATGCGGATCTGTTTCCTTTGGCCCTGAAAGCTCCAAGGAAGTCCAGTGAGGAGTTCTTCACATTAGTAAAATTTACGGCTTGGGAGAGCCTGATTGCCCCTTCCTTTCTTGTGTCCTGAGTGAAAGAGACAGCAACTTAGAACCAATAGAGCAATATTTCATGCTGAAGCTCAGAGCCAGCAAAGGGTAGCCACCAACTGAAGCAAAGCCGTAACAACCAGGGAAGGCTGGGTTGGCGCCAGGTCAATTAGCTGAGTGACTGCCTCTGTTCATTCCTGGCACATGGTCTCATCACCCAGTGCTTGGTGAGGTTAGTTAAGGGACAGCACAGGCTTCTCTGTCCAGTACCTGCTCCAGAAATAGGCTCACAGCGAAGGCACAGTAAACAACATCCCACAGTAACAAACATCCCACCAGCAGCTGCAGGGTGTGGCCCTCCCGGCAGGCTGCCCAAAGGATAATTGCTGGAAGATAGTCTGCTTCTGAGGAGGAATACAAGCTTTCTTGTCCTTCTTGAACACAGGTACATATCTGCTGCTTCTGGGGAAGAATAGAAGCAAAATCCCTCCACCCTGGAGGCAGGGGCAGGAAATTGTCTTGGGCTCAAGATACAGGCAAACATATGCTATGTTGGGGAAGAGGGCAAGCGGGGCTGGCCCACCCAGAACCAATCGCAGATAGGAGGCAGATTTTGGCTGCTATGGGAAAAAAGAGCAGAAGCACCAAGAAAGCCCCAATGCCTGATGCCCAGGAAGACAGAACCTGCTTAGGACTGAAACAGCCACAGAGCAGAGGTTCAACCCTGCCCTGCCCCTCCGTGTGCCCAGCACCACATAACAAGCGACAGCCAGTTCTTGCTGCTGCAGGGGTAGCATGCAGGGATGGCTGAAAAGGGAGGCTGGATCAAGAGGCTGAGAAGGCCCCTGGCAGTCCTGCCGTGCTCTGAGGGCCCCACTAGAAGCCTAGAGCGCTAAAGACAATGAGAGCAACAACAAAACCTGAATCCTGGTGAGACTGACTGAGCCTCAGTCACCCTAGACTGGTAGAAGTGGCAGAGGCCCATCCACTTCCAGGCAGAATACTACCTCAGTACCTGCTGTTCTACACACTGTGGGCACTGTAAAAATGTTACAATTATTATTATATAATTATAATCAATGTCATAGTCTGGTGGGGAAAGGTGGGTGACTTGCATGACCAGATGGGGACTTTGAACACAGACATGCAAATGAAAAGGAAGTTAAATGGAAATGCTGCAAACATGATCTCAGGGATGTCAGATGCCTAAAACGAGAGATCAGCAAGATCAGATACGTGCTGTCAGTGATGCATTGCTCTAGGGGGCTTTTCAGTAGCTAGGCCCGGCAGAGGAAAGAACCAGGGAACACGAAGGTAGGTCATGGTCGATAATAGTCATCTGTACCGAAACACAAACAAAATGGAGTTGGAGGGGAGGGAGAGAAAACAAAGCTAATCCAGCAGTCCAAGGGCTGTTCTAAGGCACAGGAACAGTCTCATGTACGTGTGATGTCAGTCCCAGCAGTGGAGAGAGAAAAAACGGGGAAGAAGAAGCCTTTGAAGAGCTGATGGCTAGGTAAAGGATGTAGATTTGACAAGCACTGGGACTTGGTGACACAGCGGAGTGTGAGGTAGTGGGACGAGTGCAGCCTGGCACCTGCTGGTCTATCTTGCAGCTGTTGAGCCACACAAAGGAGCAGTGCAGTTAGGAAGCAGCCGCGTGGGGTTGGAGACTTGTACCCTCTTCCGCACCGCACTGCCTCCTGCAGGCCACTGAGCAACAGTGGGCCTGTTCCCCTCAGTTCCCCACCCACAGCCTCAGGCTTCCTAAGCCCTCCGCGGACGCCTGAGAGTCAGCGGGAGGCCAGCAGATGCTCATCTCCTCTCTGCCCCACCTGCACTAACTCAAGCGCTGTGTGTTCCATTTTCTCTTCCCAAGCTGACTTCTCTCTTCCTATTGACCTAACCCCCTCTCATAAACATTCATTCTTTAGGGCTGGGGATGTAGCTCAGTGGTGGAGTAGTGCTAGCGTGTGTGAAGCCATGTATTCAATCTTCAGTACAGAGAAAGAATTCTTTACCAGATGGGAGAAGTGGGCAAAGGGAAGAAAGGTAGGGGAGGATATGAGGGATTGTGTGTGTACATACGTGTACAAAGAGCGGGGTGGGTTACGGAGAGCAAGTGAGCATTTTAGAGAACAGAGCTCCTTTCAGACTAGTTTTGGTTCTTTTGTCTTATGTCCTTTTGAGATAAAATTACAGTGCTAGGAGTCAATGCTGGAGATGTACTTGGGGCTATAGTTTTGTACAAATGCATTTTGTCCTGATCACACCGCTCTGCAAGTATCATCTGATCACACACTGTAAGAGGAACACTACAAATCCAATGCTCCCTAGAGGAGGAGTCCCCAGCATTGATGCTCAGAAGATTGAATCACTTAAAGCAGGGACAAAGCAACAAGGTTGTTTTGCCTAGAAAAGAGGAGATGTGATAGAGAGTGTAGGATATTTGGAGGAGTCTTGAGTAGAGATGTAAGACAACGAAGTGAAAAGGACAAACTAGGACCAATGGAGGGAAGTGTCCAGAGACCAATTCCTATGCTGTGTTAAGGATGACTTTTATTTTTTTGAAGACAGTCTCACTACGTAGTTCAGGCCAGTCTTAAACTCACTATGTAGCCCAGGCTGGCCTCAAACTCATAGCCATCTTCCTGCCTCAGTCTCTCGAGTGCTAGGATTACAGGCATGTGCCACGACCCTCGGCAAGGAGAACTTTCTAATAGCTGTATAACAGTGGACAGGGCTGCTGTATAAAGATTGTGAGTTCTCCTCACTGGAGGGGTTAATCAAGTGTCAGAATTGTCAAAGGAATTCTTGTATTGGGTAGAAAGTTGGATCAGGTTACTGACCCTCGTTCCAAGTCTGTGGTTAAAAAAGTGATCCAGACATGTTATGTACATGTTCCAACTTCCCATAAGGATGTACAGATTATGTACTGGAAACATGTACTAATAAAAAAAGGATGGGACCCAGCGCTTGGGAGGCTGAAGCAGGATAGTCATGAGTTTAAAGCTAGCTGGGACTACATAGTAAGGTCAAGGCCAGCCTGAACTATATAATGAGATCCTGCCTCAAAAAGCTAAAACAAACCAAAACCAAAACCAAAAAGAGGATGGGGCTAAAAGTCTGAGGTTGTCCCTGGAGACCTATGGGGGCTTCTGGAAAGCAGTGCTGCTCTGCCTGGTGTTTGGGAGGAGAGAGCTGGCGAGCTCTCCTTTCCCCTGCCTAGATGATGATAAGCTATTCGCATAAACAAGGATCACTTCCAACCAGCAGAGGCAGAGCCCTCCAAGCGTCCTCCCACAGTTCTGCAGGACAGACTTGGGCTGGGAAGAGCCCAGGAAATCTCTTGCGATGTTTTATGATCTCTAAATGCATCCCCTGAGACAAGAACTTGGATGTAGAGGTTTATTTC